CCCTCCCTCCCTCCCTCCCGGGTGCCCCCCACCCTCAGCCAACTTCCCCTGGGGCTAGCGGGCGGGCGCTGCTCACTCGGAGCCTCAGTTTCTCCACCCGTGACATGGGCTGCAGGACAGCAGCCACCTTCAGGGTTTAGTGATGAATAGAGGGGAGTTGGGCGTCTGGCGCAGTTCCGAGCGCTCGGTGAGCAGGGACTGGGGCGCCGGGTTTGAAGCCCAGCACTTCCACTTCCTAAGGTTATTTAGATGCTTTACTCAGCATCTGCTGTGCCAGGCACGGTGCCCACCTGGATGGCAGCGGAGAACAAAACAAAATCCCTTAGGGGAGCTGACGCGGAATAAACAAGAAAAATGAATAGTCTGGAGGCGACAGGCGCAGGAGGAAGACCAGGATGTGTAGGGAGCAGTGGTGATGTTTGGGGGCGGGGTCAGGGAAGGCCGTGTGAGATGATGTTTTAGCAGGAATCCTAGGAGGTGGGGTGAGCCCGGGCTATGGAGAGGATTAAATAGATCGATGTGGAGAGAACACTGGACAAATAGTACCATTTTTGTCGAATCCAAGACACCATCAAATATAAGACTCTTAGCCCTGAGCCACAGTTGGTTGGATTTGGGCCTGGAGAGAGGAGTCCGTGTTCTAGGGGCTGGGGCTCTGAGTCGGTGACTCCGGTTCAAATCCAGGCTTCGGATCTGTGTGCCTGCGGACAAGTCCCTGGACCTCTCAGATGGTGGGAGGGGCCGTGAGGATGCGCTGAGCAGGGGCTCCCAGGTTGTCCTGCTCAGGGAACCACACTGGGGAGGGTGAGTGGAGAGGGGGCGGGAAGGCTCATAAGAAAGCCAGACCCTCAGCTCTCCGAACAGGAAATCAGCAGGCACATCTCAGACAGACAAACCAAGAAAGCAGCATAAGCGAATTACTGAAACTATGAAGGCCAGTGCCTGAGAAAATAGTGAAGAGTGGAAAGTCCCTGCCTCAGAGGGGTGGAGAGGCTTAGAGGGGGGCGTGTGCATATGTGTGTGTGTGTGTGTGTGTGTGTGTGTGTGTGTGTGTGTTTTTAAATGTTCACAACCATATACGTGTAATAATACTTTGGTTAAAAATTAACTTAATGTCACTTTGTTAAACCCTTAAATGCCAGCCCTTTGAGGAGCATTTTTAATCTGTGTTGGCAGGTTCCTCCAACACAGTTACCTTAAGGTGTGTTTAATCTTTCTGGATGTTGTGTTCCACATGTGTTTATTCTGAGTAGGTGCTGGCGATACATGGTGGCTGTCAGATGCAATCTCTGGTTCGAGGAAGAAGTAATTCAATGTGATAGGGGCTGTCATGGGGCACAGTCACGCCCCAGGAGGGAGAAGAGAGTGTCCCTCTGTGTGGCATTCCCCAGGAGGTCCGGACGTGTCCCAGGGAGGACAGGCAGGCAGAGGCCCAGGACTGTGAAAAATGTGGCATTTGCAGAATGAGGCATCTTTGCAGCCAGAGCAGAGAGGAGAACACGCGGTGGGGTGGAAAGTCGGGAGAAAAGAGGCGGCAGGAATAGTGAAGATGCTCAAGGGGCCCTGGACCTTGTCCTGGAGACACTGGGGAGCCGTGGGAGGGCTCTGAGCAGGGGAGTGACTTCACGTTTGGCCTCGGGTGCAGCCACTCTGAAGGGAGAGGGAAGTAAGGATCGGCAGATTGGCCACAGGAGAGACCAAGCCAGGGCACATGGGGGAGGCTGTCCAGGGTCCCTGGCCCTCGAGGGACAGAGGACCTGCACCAGGGAGGCAGGGGGAGCTGTCAGGCCTGGATGGCCAATTGGATGCAGAAAGTGAGTCAGTCCCAGGCTTCTTGCTCGGGCAACAGGAGGGACTGTGACGTTATAAATTAAGATTAGGTGTGCAAGAAGAACCTTAAGTAATTAATTAATTAACTTTGTGTGAATTCAAATGTGTTCCAGTGAAATGGCAGTATTTACACGAGGTCCAGGTGGAACTGTCTAGAGCAGTGGTTCTCAACCTTGGCTGCACATTAGAATCACCTGGGAATCTTTTTAGAATCCTGATTTCTGGGCCTCATCCTCCGGAAATTCTGTTTCTTTGTTACTAATGTTGTGGCCCCACCCCATAACAAAGAAACAGAATTTCCGGAGGACGAGGCCCAGAAATCAGGATTTTGAAAAGATTCCCAGGTGATTCTAATGCGCAGCCAAGGTTGAGAACCGCTGGTCTGGTGGGTGTTCGGAAATAGGATGAATGGGTTGGGGAGCTGCAGACAGGGAAGTGGACCGTTCACCATTGATCAGGAGGTAGTTGAGGCCACAGGCCCGTGAACCACAGCCTGCTCCTCAGGCTCGCCCAGGACAGACCCCAGGAAGCCCGAGCTGAGGGGCCTCCGCCTTCTCCCCCACCCGCAGAGATCCTCAAGGCTGAGAAGGATGTGGCCCAGAGCCTTCTTGATGCGAAGGAGCAGGCGTGCCAGGGGGGTGCTGAATTGCAGCAGATTGAAGCCAAACTTCAGAAGGCCAGCGAGGAGGACACCCACCTGAAGGCCAGCCTCCTATATCCTTTCCTCAGCCTCTCCTGGGAGGTGTGAAGTCATTCACACTAGAAACCGAGCTTGGAGCCAGGGCCCTGGGCCCCATGGGGCTGGTTTTAGCATGTAGGCAGCCCTCCCTCCAAAGTCGGATCCTTAACTGCCTGCTCTACTCAGCTCACCAGGGAGCTGGAGGACCTCAAGGAGGTGGAGGCCGATCTCGAAAAACAGGAGAAGGAGGTTGACGACGACCCCACGGTCACCATCCCTGCCGCCATGTAGGTCCCACACATGCCAGTGTGAGTGCGTGCCTGAGTCTGTGTGTTCAGTCCACAGCTTTTTTCGGGTGTTGCTGCTGGGGTAACTTTCTTTTCTCGCTCTCTCTCTTTTTTTTTTGTATTCTTATACAGGTATGTGGCTCAGCTTTATCACCGAATTAGTAAAATCGAGTGGGATTATGAGTGTGAACCGGGGATGATCAAAGGCAGTATCCTTTGTGGAGAAAAGGAGCCCTGTGCACTGCTGGTGGGGATGTAAAGTGCTGCGGCCGCTGTGGAAGACAGGGTGGTGGTCCTGTACACTTCCGAGTGTAAATACGAAAGAACTGGAAGCAGGGACTGGGGCAGATACATCATTGTTCATAGTAGCATTGGTCACAGAAGGTGGACGCAACCCATGTGTTCATTGCTATGCAGTGGGGCCTTGACGTAGGAGTTTAATTCGTTCCGAGACCGAGCTCGTTAAGGAGCTCGTTAACTCAAATTACTCTATCAACTCAATGCAAAAAATCGGCAGAGAGACAGCTGGTATCTCAAAAAACTCGTTAGTCGGGACACTCGTAAGTCAAGGCCCCACTGTATACAGTAACTGGATGAACAATGGAGTGTACACATACAGTGGAATAGTATTCAGCCTTAAAGGGAAGGAAATTCTGACGCGTACAACATGCTTGAACCTGGGGGACATGCTGAGTGAAATAAGCCAGGAACAAAAAGATAAATACTGTAAGATTGCACTTACATGAGATCCGAGGTTCGATTCCTGTCAAGGGCATGTACCTCGGTTGCAGGCTCCTCCCCCGCCTCAGGAATCAAAGTCATAGAGACAGGAAGTGGATGGTAGGTTTCGGGCTGGGGACTTAGTGTTTAATGGGGGCAGTGTTTCTGTTTTACAGTGAAAAGGTTCTGGAGATGGATGGTGGTGATGGTTGCACAACAGTATGTATGTGTTGATGGCACTGACCTGCACACTTAAAAATGGTTAAGATGGTGCCCTCGCCTCAGTGGATAGAGCGTTGGCCTGCGGACCAAAGGGTCCCGGGTTCGATTCCGGTCAAGGGCATGTACCTCGGTTGCAGGCTCCTCCCTGGCCTGGGCCCTGGTGGGGGCACATGCAGGAGGCAACCAATCGATGTGTTTCTCTCACATCGATATTTCTGTCTTTCCCTCTCTAAAAATCAATGGAAAAATATCCTCAGATGAGGATTTAAAAAAAAAATGGTTAAGATAGTAAATTTCATGTTATATCTATTTTACCACAATTTAAAAAACAATATGGTGCATTATTAGAGCTTAAATTTTTCTTCACGAAAATCTGTTTGTCTCTAAACATCTTACTAACACATTTTCGAAGGCGTTATCCTTTGGCTGGGGGATCGTGGAGAGGGCTGTGCTTCGGGTTTCCTTACATCCTGCCCTCAGTCCATCGTGGCCCCAGCGTGGCCCAGCCCATCCACCTGGACAGCACCCAGCTCTCCAAGAAATTCATCAGCGACTATCTTTGGAGTTTGGTGGACACGGAATGGTAGCTGGGAACGGCTCGGACTGTCCTGCACATAATGGGAATCATTTGTGGTGTGTGGTTAGTGCCTTGGTGGTGAGATCAGCTTAAAATTAAATGTTTAGCCCTGGCCGGTTGGGCTCAGTGGATAGAACGTCAGCCTGCGGACTGAAGGGTCCCAGGTTTGGTTCCAGCCAAGGGCACATGCCTGGGTTTCGGGCGCGATCCCCAGTAGGGGATGTACAGGAGACAGCTGATCAGTGATTCTCATCATTGATGTTTCTATCTCTCTCCCTCTCTAAAATCAATAAAAATATATTTTTAAAAAGTGTTTAAACATAAATGGGATTTTTACTGAATTCTCCCCCCCACCCCCATCCCCAACTTTTTGCCTCAGATGCTGGACTGCCTTGGGCCAGGTAACCATAGAGAGCTGACTTACCTGTGCCAGGCCTGTGACTTCACATCTATGACAACACTGTACAAATGACACCAGAGTGTATGATGACAAATTCCGGGTCTTTATCATTTATTATGCAAGTTTGGCCCTTTTTTATTCATTCAGAGCGTATCTGAGTGCCACTGTGCTAGGCACCCAAGACACAGATGAAAGTGAAAAGGATCCCTTTGCCCCATGGAGGAGTCACAGGTGAGCGGATGCCACCCTGGAGCTTTGCCTGGTCAAAACTCAGCCTCTTTTGCAGCTAAATTGAGCCATGTAAGTGGAAGTGTTGTATGAGACTTCTAGAAGGATCCTTAAAAGGCAAGGGAGTATACCCTTTCCTTCCCCTGCCCTTTATTTTCTGGAATTATTTGGGTGTGACTGGAGACCTGGCAGCCACATTCCACAAGTAAGGAGGGGTGCTGCGCTCTGGGGGTGACACAGAACTGGTATCTGATGATGGGAGAGCTGGTGTCAGCCGTGGACTTCTTTAAAGGGGAGAAGAGGTTGACCTAAACTAGCCCGTGTGCCATGGTTACTTTTGTGTTCCTATCCCAGTCAAAACAAACCCTAACTGATGAAGCACGGAACCTAGACCAGGGCCGGCCGATCGGTGTGTCCATCTAAAGCTCATCTTCGGTGATCCGGCATTACTCGGTGGGAAGCTCGCGGCCTGCCTGCCTGTGGAGAGAAGTAGAGCCGTGGACACCTGTTGCCCCTGGTACAGCTGTGCCCAAAGCCAGCAGATTGTTCCAGGACCTCTGGGTGTTGGGTCCTGCCCACCTCTATACAACTGAAGTGTTTACAATAAGCACGATTCGTGTTTTAATCAGAGACGGGCATTCTAGGCAGCGGGACAGGAAGTTCTAGCAGCACCTGAGCATCCAGTGGGCACTCAGCACTGACCACGGAGGTCCTGGGCAAGGAAGCCTGCCTGTGGGGCTCCAGGGAGATGGACCAGTAAAGAGGGCCGATCGCCCATTCGGCTCACGGTTCCAGAGCTCCAGGGGCCCTGCTCTGTGCCAGCGCCTGGCCGTGCCTGTTCACACAGCCCTGGGCTGCTGCTGCTCCAGGTCAGTAGAGTCTTACAGTGTGAAGTGGGAGCAGAGCCCCCGTCTGCACCATCCACATCTAAAGGGCGACAGACGACCTGCACTAGGGTTTTCCACCGCAGCCCTGGTGACCGTCGGGCCAGTCATTGTCTGCGGTGGGCAGTCCTGGACATGGCAGGACATTCAGCAACATCCCTGGGCCTCTACCTGCTAGATGCCAGGAGCACCCACCTCAGTTGTGACACCCACAAATGTTTCCGGCTATTGCCAGTGTCCCAGGGGGAACCCTCCTCCCCACCCCCACCCCCCTTAAGGCTGCCCTTCAGCCTTGCAGCCTCAGCCAGAACAGGCTTTGGCCCGTGGTCAGCTGAATAACAGCGGTCACTCTGGTGGCCATTCCTGCTAGCACAGCTGGCCTCCCACCTGCTCGCCTTTGTGGGGGAAGGTGCCAGGAGCGCCCCCAGCCCAGCTGACAGTCCAGCACAGGAGAAGAGCGTATTTCCCCCTGAGCCTAGAGCGCCTGAGAGAGAGCAGGCGTGGGGTTCCCGGAGGGGCCACGGAGGCCTGTGCCTGCCTGCAGCTCGGTTCCCCCAAGAGGAGGAAGGTCTCTTTAGGGAGACTGCATGAACCCAGACTCCGAGGGGCCGTGTCTGTCCTCCCCTAAACCCCCGTCTCCAGGGACTGACCCAAAGGAGTGAGCAAGTGTGTGTGGGAGCATGGCCTGGCCGGGGCCTTGTGGGCGGATGGGTTCAGGGAGGTGCTGAGCTCACAGGGGCCGGGAGAGGCCCTGGCCCTCCAACATGCCTCGGCCCTGACTCACTGCCGGGATTGGCCAGATGCCTGGGACAGCCAGCAGGATAGGCTCAGGCCCCAGCCTCCAGCCTGCACCCCTGCTCCCACCCCCGCCCACTCTTGGAGCCTCTCCACTGGCAGCCACCAGCTCTTTTCTGAATCCTGGAGGCTGGCCAGAGGCCGCTGCGCGCTAGGCCCAGCCTGTGGAGGAAGGAGTAAGATTCATGTCCCCAGGACCAGGGAGTGGGGAACCAGGTCACCAGACTACAGAACTGAGGGTCAGCCCTACACCACCGCACCCCACCCCCAGCGTGGGCCCGGCCCATCCTGAGCCGTGAGGAAGATTCACGTTACAGATGGGGAGACGGGCACGGCACGGGCCAGTTAGGTCCCCGTTCAGGACAGCGGGGCCCCAGGGTCACTTTTCAGATGAGAAGGAGCCTCTCACTTGGTCAAGCCCTAAAGGGTGACAGAAGCGGGCCTGGGTTCGGGTACGTGAAGTCGTTCAGGATCAGTGGCTGCTGGTCAGATACGCACACACCCGGTCGACCTGGCTGGCAGGTGGTGGTGCTGAGGCCAAACCCCTCGCCCCGCACCTCCGGCGAGCGGCTGGGGGAAGGCCAGCAGGACCGGTCTCCCAGCGTCGGCACCGCATTGTTTGGATTCCCTGGGACCCTCCGTGTGTGGCCCACACTGATCCGCCCGCACGGTGGTCCCAGGACCCCCAGTGGCCCTCGACTGACTTAGAAACGTGGGCTCACATCTGTGACCTGCACCCCGTTCAGGAAGCCGCGCTCCAGTGGAGGCCATGGCATCATGGTTGAGCAGGTGCTGTGTGCTGGCTCCACGGTTCCTTACAGGTAAGGGTTGGCAGCTGATGTTGGCAGAGCTGGGGTTTGAACTGGATCCAGACCTGGAATTTAACCCTGAGGTCATTTCAGTTATTGATAAATGCTGTTGGTATGTGGGGGGCGAGGGCTTTGTCGGAGGCCCAGGGAGGAGGCGTCCTGAGAGCCCAGACCTGAGCCCCCAGGGGACAAAAGTGCAGAGCCAGTGATCCCGGCAGAGGGGACAGCAAGAGCGAAGGCTGGTGTCCACCACAAAGCGGCCAGGGCCGAGGGGACCCGAGGGCACAGGCGTGATCACGCTGGGCCTGCAGTCAGTGAGACACGGGGAGGAATTCAGAGTCCAGGGTGCTGGTCTCACTGAATCCCCAAGCTCCCTCCTCCATCCCAGGCAGCTTGGGAGAGGAGGCCAGGCTGAGTGGGAACAGCTGGGCTGGGAGGGTGGGGCTGGGGAGGAGGAAGCCCCTGCGCAGAGGGCAGGAAGCTGCACTGAAACCCGAGCTGAACTGCCTGGAGGGGAGACGACCAGGCCCAGGGTGGGTGACAGGACCTGTACAAGCTCACACACCCCCTCAGCCTCATTCCTTCCTCATCTCAGGGGGAGAGGGTGCTGCTTTCCCCCCACCCCACCTCCCGGGCAGGGCATTGGGGGGCAGCTCTCCCCCGTCCTCTTCTCCCCCTTCCTCCAGAGGACCTGGGCCCAGCCCCGCAGGCTCCAGCCTGACTCACCACAGGCAGCTGTGGTTTGGGATGCCAGGGCTGGGGGCGGGCAGCATCAGAGGGCGTGTAGAGCATCGGGCTTCGGGGAGTAGCTTCCTCTGCCACCCACCCCGACCTGCCAGAGCTGTCGAGCCCGCACCCATATTGGGGAGGCAGCCCCCAAACTCCAGACTGCCGCCCCTCCCCTTCCAGGACCAGCACGTTGGGTGCAGGCCGAGCCCATAGGCCGGGGGGCTGGCCAGACAGCCAAGGGGGCTGAGCTGTACCTGGTGACATCCCAGAGGACTGCAGCCAGAAAGGGGGTCACCCCCATGGTGACCATCCCAGGCTGGTGGGGGAAAGGCCAGGGGAGTCGGTCCAGGGACCCCGAGCCTCCCCTTCCCCATCTGTAAAGTGGGTGCCCAACACCGCAGGGAGCGGATGAGTTCATCCTGCAGACACGTGCACCCTTGTATGTCACAAAGCTCTAACCCGTTGCAGTCGGCGCCATAGTCCGTGCCCAGCGGGGTGCCTGATGGGTAATAGTGACCCCTCCTTCAACAGAGCCGCCAGGCCAGATACCAGAAACCTCGCTCCCTCTGCCTCTCCCAGGTACTCGTCCTGCGGCCATCGCTTGGCCAACTCCCCTGTGCAGGCCATTCAAGTTCATTGTCCCCTTTGCCACACGGCTGAGCATGGGCTCAGTCAATCACCCAATTATTGACCGCCGAGTGCAAGCCCCTGAAGCTTCCTGTTTGGCCAGTTCAGCTTTCACCCCCAGAGGCATTTTGGAACCTTCCCAAGACAAAGCGCGGAAGGAAGGAAGGAAGTGCCACCCTGTGGACAGAAACGATAGCAGTCCCTGCGGCTCCTGGCCTTCACCTCCAACCACAGATCACAGAACGGGAGGTGGATTAGCCTTGGCCCCGGTTTTATTGGGGAAACTGGCGTTGATGGGCCCAAGGTCATCCCTCAACCCAGGCAGCCTGACCCAGCTGTGCTCTTCCCCACCCCGTGCCCCTGCCCCGCGGTCTGTTCCTGCCAAGCCTTCCCTCTGCTGTGGCATATTTCTAGTTGCCCTTTTAAAAAAATAATTATCACTATTTTAAAAAATATTTGTATTGATTTTTAGAGAAGAAGGAAGAGGGAGAGAGAGAGAAGCATTGATGTGAGAATGGAACATCAATCGGTTGCCTCCTGCACAGCCCCTACCAAGGATCAGGCTGAAACCCAGGCATGTGCCCTCACTGGGAATTGAACCGAACTGGCAATCCTTCAGTGCACGGGACGATGCCCATCAACTGAGGCACACTGGCCAGGGCATCACTAGTTAT